GGGGAATGATTGAGTTGGCTGGGGAAGAGGTGTTTCTGCAGAGCAAGATAGGAGTCTACAAAATTATGAGCGGCATGGAGAAAACGGATAGGGATTGAATGTTCACCCTCTTTGCCAAATACAAGTATCGGGACCATCAGATGAAGCTAGTGGGAGCCAGGTTCAGAACAAAGAGTCAAAAGTTATTCTTCATGCAACAGGTAGAAAACCTGCGGATCTCTTTGCTGAACAACTCTGTGGATTCAACCAACAACTTTGCATGTGTTTAGAGGGAGGCTGGAGAAAGATTTGGAAGCGGCTTCCACTGTGCTTTCCTAAGCAGACAAAACCTGGTCTCGACCCATCCCCGTCCCCAGGGAGGTGCCTGATGCCGGGGCTGCCCCGGTGCCCCCCAGCTGCCCCTCTCTGGGCTGGGGTGGTGGGACAGACCCCGGATGATGGGGCCCTGCTGTCACCCACCCAGGGAGCCCCTGGCACCCTGGCTCCACAGAGCCACCAGCCTTGGTGGCACCATGACAAGAGGCTCTAAAAAGTGCCGAAGCTGAAGACGGTCAGAGCCTGGGGTAGTATTCTGCAAAAATATCACAAAAGCTTGCCCCCCCCTCTCTCTCCCAAGGTGTCTTGTGACAGCTTCTGGGAACAGAACATTGAGCTCTGGAGTCACTTCCAAAAGCACTTTCCTGAATTTATTTAGACACACAGGCAAGAGCATGACACATGAACAATTCCTTCATTCCACTCAGAACTAGCAAAGCAACAGCTGGAATGATGTTTTTTTTCCTATAAATTAAGCTGGGAACAGAAAACACTTCCATGCTTAAACCTTCATATAGCTAATACTTGTAAAAATACACACTAATCTTCAGTTATAGAAAAATGTATTAGTAACTATTTCAGTGAAATCGATTGCTATTTTTATAAGTACCAATGTTTTTTTAACAATCCGAAATGCAAAAGAAATCACTTTGGACACCAGTTGCATCATACACTTTGTTGTCAGTGGAGCTGAGGGAGATGATGGTGGCAGTAGGCGCCTGCCGGTCCACCTGAAGGAGCTGACTAACCTGAGGGTTGGCGTGAGTGAAGTGGCGGCTAAAAGGAGCTGATCAAGTGACAGCCAGGCTTGGGTAAGTGGCTGAGGTGAAAAGTGTCAATAACTGACGTGACCGAAGTCAGAAGTGACACAAGAGAATTGAAGGACCGAAGTGACTGCAGTGACTCAGGTGTGATGGAGGCTGAGGCTTCCTGAGAGGTTCTTGGACAAACTGTTTAACATCTTCGTTAATGATCTGGGAGATGTGACAGAGTACACCCTCAGTGAATGGGCAGACGATACAACACTGGGAGGAGTGAAATACCAGATGGTGGTGCCACCATTCGGAGGGATCTTAACAGGTTGGAGACAGAGCCCAACAGGAATCCCATGGAATTCAACCAAAGGATTTGCCAAGTCCTGCACCTGGGCTGTGCATGGGGACTAACCCAGCAGAGAAGACCAACTGCAGCCCAGGCTGCACTAGGAAGAGTGTCATCAGCAAGTCAAGGGAAGTGATCCTTCCCCTCAAGGCCAGGCCTGGAGTGCTGTGTCCATTGCAGGGCTCCCCAGTACGGGAGGGACGTGGACATAGCGGAGCAAGGGCACCAAGGGCCACAAAGATGATGAAGGAACTGAAGCATCTGTCCTATGAGGAGAGGCCGAGAGAGGTGGGACTGTTCAGCCTGGAGAAGAGAAGGCTCAGAGGGATCTTATCAATCCCCTGCAGGGAGGGTGTAAAGAAGAGGGAGCCGGGCTCTTTCCAGTGGTGCCCAGGACAAGAGGCAATGGGCACAAACCGAAACACAGGAGATTCCACTGAAGAATAAGACAAAAATTTTGACCTTGAGGGTGGTCAAGCAGTGGAATGGGTTGCACAGAGATGTTGTGTGGTTCTCCATCTATGGAGGTATTAGAAACTCAGTGGACACGGCCCCAGGCAACCTTTTCTGGATGACCCTACTTTCAGCAGATTTTGGACTAGACAATCTCCAGAGATCCCTTTCAGCATCAACTATTCTGTGATTCTGGGTTACTGTGGCACCTTCAGTATCCTTAATGATGTTAAAATCTCAGTGAGGTGTCTTTGCTAAGATATGCTTGTCCTGAAAGTTAAAAAATAAGAATACGGAGAATATTAGTGCTAAGGATAAGCACGATATACAGAGATATTTATAATAAGCAAAATGTGGAGGGGTAAAATCAGAAGTCATGCAGAAAGAGCAAAGGATAGAGTAAACAAATAGTGGGAAGCCTAGGGAAGACCAAAATGCTTAGTGCCCTTTTCTACAGCCTTAATAAAATGCTATTTATGACAAGATTGTAAAACACAATGAAAAGAATAGGAAAGCATCAGATTAAAGAAACACTGTGAAATATTTACGTCATTTGGACAACAGGAAATGAAATATACCTTTGAATACCGAGAAGAATCTCCCAAACAGGATCAGCTTTTTGGAGCACTACTTAACGATGTGAAGAGTCTCAGGGTCTTAAAGAATATCAGACACAGCACCTTTATTTGAGGAAAGATTCCTCAAGATTACTAGAACAAATTATGATGTTATCATTTTCCAGTAGTTCAGGGAACAAGAATGGGAAAGAAAATTTACCACATGGATTTTAAAAAATAATTCAGGTGAAATCAATCCAATTATCTTCTTTGATAGTCTAGCTGCTTGACAGGCATGAATTCACCTAGTAGGAACTAGTACTTCTAGCACACCACTAATTTTTAACAAAGTTTCTGACGCAACTCTCATAACTCATATTTTTTTCCTTTTATACATTTTTTAAGAAGCAAGACAGATATGAACTAGTTTAAAATACTGTGATGGAGGTCAGCAACGATTTGAAAGACTGTGCTCAAGACAAGCAAAAATTATTTTCAGAGAAACTGTGAAGATACTATATGAGATCTTAAAGGAGCCTGAATTTTCAGGACATTGTTTGTAAGGGAACTGAGAATTTGTATTCACATACACACCGGGCTGGGAGAGCTGATCCAGATGTGGATCAGAGGATGGGAATGAAACTCAAACTAGCTTTCATTAAAGAAGCAGAGCATGGAAGAAAAGCTCAGAAATTCAGTAAAGTACTCAAGAAAGGAAAAGTCAAATGAACAAGTATAAAAGGGAATAAATATCAATATACAAAAGTGTATCAGAAAATGATATGTGAGACTTCATGGGTGTCAAAGTGAATATTGAAACAATCCAAAGTAAAAAGAATAAATGCTGTCTGGCAGCATTTTAAAAGTTCATATTCAAACCATCAGTAGAAAGCTTCCCTTTCTGCTCTGTGGTTTCTAAGGCCACTGGAAGAGTTTTATGTCCATTTTTGCATGTCACATTTTGGCAACAGTACCAACAAACTGAAAAATCATAAAGAACGGAACTATGAATTCCAAGGAAATGATGAAATAAATAGCTTTTAGCTGAACCAATTAGCTTATTTCTATCAGTGAAAAAATAGAGGGAGCAAACATTTCTCACTGTGGGGAAGTGAGCAAGTGGCTGTGTAGGGCTTAACTGTCTACTGGGGTTAATCTACAACAAGCACATTAAAAACTATGATTATAAAGGTAATTTTTTCTGCCTAGTCACTGAAGGATATGTGAAAAAAAAAGTGAAAAATAGTGATTGATATTAGTAAAAAAATAATGAAATTGCTAAATGAGAACTGGACCATGCCCCCTGGGAGGTTTGTGTAGCCTCTGTCTTCCAGAGATTTCTAAGAGTAGGTGGAAAAATCCTGTTAGGAAACGCTTAGGAATTGTTGGGCCAAGACATGGAGTTTGTACAGGTCTTTTGCAGCCTTATGTATGCGTGTCTCCATTAAAGACTAGCAGGAGGCTCCCTGGTCTAGGGTTCAAATTACATCAAAGGAAGCAAAGAGAAACACATTCCGAGGTGAAATACCTACCTCAAGCCCGGGCATTGGGTTTCTTACATATTTCTGTGAGGAATTTCAGGTTTTCTGCTCCTGAATTATCTGTGCTTTACTTGGAGTATTTCGCTTTCATGTTCCCAAGGATGTGTTGACGTAGATTCTAGGCAAACAAAAGCTGCTGATGCTTTAGTGTCAGGACATACATATTTAGTCTGTCCTTCATGTATATTTAATGTTAGATAGCTTTCAGTACTTTCATGTATGCTTTGTAAGTATTTTCTATACTGTGATTACCACCTGGACTTGTATCTACTGTCAGGAGTTCAGGAAAAAGAGATTTCCTTGGGGACAGATTTGCTTATGAACACATTTAGAATTTGATTTATACCTCATCAGTACACCTAACAGAGTCTCAGCAAGCTATTTTCAGTGCAATGTTCTGGGAGCAACGACCGCTGGAAACCTGGTAACAAGGTGATCCTCCGGTCATTTAAGAGGGCAACCCACACCGTGTTATCCAATTAGGAGAAAGTTGTATTATGTGCACCTGCAGCATCCAGGTGTATTAAATTCCATTGCCCTTTTGTCATAAAGAGCAGCGTTTGAAGCTTTTAACTCTCCTGCCTGCCCCGGTGATTCCACGCGGGAGGGCTGCATCGCCGCCGACTGTTGCGAGCGGTCGAAAATGAGATGTTGGAAGGTCTAGATCATTTCGTTGTGTTTTCAGCGCTGAGGCTGCGCTTGATGGGAGCTTTTAGCGCTGGAACAAGGTGTGACTTTTTTTTCCTCTCCCTGAGGTGAAGAGAGAAGAAAGGGGAGTAGCTGCCGGGGGGCTCGCGGTAGAGGCCCGGGTGCCGTAGCAGCTGGCAATGCCGATTCTCCCCCCGCGGCAAGTACAGCAGGCCGCGGCGGCAGCTCCCGGGCGCTGGGAAGCCGGGACTGGCCGGGGACTGGAAAAGGGAAGTTAAAAAAAAAAAAAAAAAAAAAATGACCCACAAACCTCCCACCTCAAGGCCGTGGGGGGGGGGGCCGGTGACGGGAGCCCCTCGCCATGGCAACGGCAGCGGGTGATGGAGACAGCGGCAGGGCCCGGCCGCCTCCGCCTGCCGCACCGCCGCTCGGGGCCTGCCCCAGGCCCAGCCCCGGCGGAGGGCGGCCGGGAGATGCAGGTGCGGCGGGGCCGGGCGGGCCGCGGCCGAGCAGCGAGCGGAAAGTCAGGGGAGGAAGGGGAGCGGCGGCCGCGGCCTAGCGCCCCGGGGCACGGCACGGCGTAGTGCCCGCTCCCCCCCGCAGCCCGCCCGGGCCAGGCCCGGGAGAGGCGGCTCCGATAACTGACGGGGTTGAGGGGATCCCGTGTTTCGGGGGGAAGGAGCTTCCCAGCGTTTGGCGTCTACGCGGGAAAGGGGGTTTTAGAGTGGCGCTGCTTTGGTAGCTTCTCGAGCCCTTCGGCTTGCGTGGGCCGGGGTGTCCCGCGGGGGCTGCGGGTGTTTTTTTGTTTTTTTTTTTTTTTTTTTTTTTTTTTTTTGGTTTGTTTTTTTTTTTTTTTTGGGGGGGGGGGTCGGGTCCGCCCCTCTGTGCCCGTTTTGGGCGGCACAGCCGTTACTGCTTGCCTCCGTGTCCTGCTGAGGTGCCTACGTATGGTGATTAAAAAAAGATTACTAGGGATAACTTCCTCTGATGCCTCCCTCTGAGAAGGTATTTTTATCTGTGATGAAATTCACAAACTTTGGTTGTTTATAAACAAAACAGGCGTTCTTGGATTTTGAAGAAGGCAGCTATTTCTCATATCAATTATTTCTCTTGTGACTCAACTTCAGGTATGAAAACACTTAATTGAGGTGGTTCATTCAGTAACATTGGCAGAAGATGCTCTTGAGACCTGCTGTAAAAAAAGAATAATATAATGTGCCCTGACAAATCCTGCTTCCTGCCTCGCACTGGATGTTTGTTGCTTTCAGCTTTACTCTGATAATTATTTTATTACTAGTTTTGTTGAGTTGAAGCACATAATTATAGAACGCTTTTTTAAGTGTTATCGTTTAATGAACTCTTTTTTTTTTTTTTTTTTTTGAAACTCTGTTTTCCCTTTGTTTTGTCTGACTTTTCAATGTATCCAAAAGCAAGGGAATTTGCATTAGGGTCTCTCACTACTAATGGAAGCTAACTTGATTACGTTTTCCTGAAAGGATTATGTAATTAATAGATCCCAGGGATGGTTACATTCCACTATATTTCCATAATGCTAAAGCAGTACGAATACACTGCACTCTTAACTTTTGCAATAGCTTCCAGGACACATGGCAAAGCCGTTCTGGCTGATATTTCTGTACAGTTACAAATACAACAAGTTATTGTCCCTATCTCTTGTAAGAGTAACTTGCTTACTAGAAGGCCTGTCCTACCGAAACTTTAAGGTCAAGAGAATCAGCCTAATGCTGTGATAATATCATCTAGAATACCCTAAACTTTTGTAAAAATGCATTATTTGCTTTACGAGAGATTAATTAAGAAAATTTAATGAATTGATATGTGGAGCTAAGGATAAAAACAAAGCCACTATATTAACATTCATTTCAGTTTTTGATCCTAGCATTATTCAGTTGAGAATTCAACTCCTGCTTTTTTGTTTTGCTTTCTTGGGTATGTGGCAATGAGAGGTTAAGTAGTCAGAACTCTTTTTGTGTGTGTGTGTGATTTTCTTTGTTTTTTTTTAAGTGCATAGTTTTGTTGTAGTTATCGTTTAATACATTCATGGGCTGGAGACACTTGCTTCTGTGCAACTTGTGAATTAAGACCATATTAGTATGTGTGTCTTGTTTTGACTCTTTTCTAGAAAGAGGCTTAATGATGTAACTTCTCAATGACCGAAAATATCCTCCTATGTTTTAGCAGCCTGTATTTTGCAGGGAATGGGGTGGAGGGAGATAGAGGAGGATTCTTTCCACACTCAGGTAATTCACAGTTTAATCACTGATGACAAGAAAGCAGCTGTGTTATTTATGTGCAGAGTGACCTGCCTTGATGGAAGTTTTTATTAAACAGGCCAACATAATTATTACCCTTTTCACTCTTATCTTAAATTAGGGAATGTTCAGGCACAGTAGCCCATGTAAAAATAAAGATTCCCTTTCTGCTGCCTCCCCAGTGGATGTACAGTGGATTTGTAAAACAATAATGGGAGATGTGTGATGAATGCCTTTCTGTTAATTGGCATCTTCTCAGGAAAACGAAATTATGACACAAAGAATTGCTCAATACCAGGTGTAGGGCAGTGTAAGCAGGGAAAAGCATTTGATGTATGAGTGAAAAGGGAAAACGTTTAAGACTGCCAGCTGTTTGGCACTAACTTTATTGAAAGAAATAAAATGCCCTCTTCTCCTGTGAAAGATAAAATCTCAGCCTAATTCTATGTGCCATAATTTGGGTGTTGTCCTGATATGAAATGATCCTTAAACTTTATTAGTATTTTGTTCCAAAAGAAACTATATGTGGAAGAGGCCATGAGTTCAGCCTCTGCTAGAGACAAATTGCTGTAAGTCACTGAATTCATGTACATGTGCTGCGGGAGTTATAACTCAGCAGGTCATTGTGAAGAAAAATCCTGCATTCAGCAACGGACATCAAAATGAACATGGGCAGAAAGCTCCGTAATTTGTCTTTCTGAGGAAACATGCAAAGTTGCAAAGAGAGATGGCTGAAGGTGTGGGAACTGTAAAGAAAGTGGGTGAAAATATGGAACCGCTTCTTTAATGTGCAATGAAGAGAGAGAAATTGACTCTTGTGGTGTATTGTTTTTAAGCGATGATTGGGTATCTTTGGTCAGATTAAAAAGCATCCGCTTGCGAACGGGTGGGGGACACACCACTGAATACAGTTACTGAGTGTCAGAGCATGCAGCAGATTGCCTGAGACAGCTGTTACTGTAGTAGAAGGTGGCTGAAGTAATGGTAACAATGGCTAATGACAGCTAACCTGCTGGAAGACAGGAAAAGCTACTTTTTATTTTTATCACTGGTAAGATATTACAAAAAGCTAAAAGACTATGCATCAATGGAAAGAGGAACCAATATACTAGCATGAGAACTACGTGTAGGTTTCTTTAATTTTCTAACAGACATTTCTAATGAGAAGAAAAGGAAAAGTCAAGTATGCTGTCTTGTTTGGAATATGGTGAACAGCTGAGCAATATGTCAATATGGATCGCATTTGCTAAATATATTTGTACAAAGCACGATGTCAAATGTTAATATGGGAAAGAAGGATTTTCCTTAGTCACAGTTAGACAGCGACTGTTTAAAAGGATGTCACAGATCCCTACTGATTTCGGTTTTCAGTAGCCGAAGCATGTATTTGAAAGTGCTTAATAGACACAGGACACATTTTCGAAGAACAGTGACTGGTAATGGAGTGTGTCATCATGACAATTAATATTCAGAAGATTTACAGGTAGGGAAGACCTTTTTCACTTAATCTAGATCAGGCAGTGTACTCTAAACACATTAAGAATGGTAACACTTCGTGACAAATAACAATCACATACCACAGAAGCAGAAAGACATTTAATAACACTGGCGGCTACAGGGCATCTTGCATTTTGTCCAGTGTCCTCCGCTCCCGATATGCAGGGGAGAGCTGGCAAGCCGAGGAAGCAGCAATTGCACGGCTCCGGTTGCTCAGCAACAATTCCAGCTTTCTGCCGGGTGTGTGTGTGCAGGCAGCAGCAGTGGTGCTGTTTCCAGAAAGGTCTCATTTATGGCCAAGGTGTAAATTCCTCTTGGGTGCAGTTGGAAGGTGTGCTGCGTAGGCATGGGCTGCCTGCGTATGGCCCTGAGAGCCCAGCATCACTTACAACTTCGCTTTATTGCCACTTGGGTGGAGTCGAGTGGTTTTGGCGTTTCTTTATGTAATATTGAAATTTGAAATCTATATTTACTGTAATGCTGAACTTACATAAAAGGAAACGCTTGGTTATTGGCGAATACAGTTCTGTTTCTGCTCCTAGGTTTCTGAGTAGATGTTTAAAACACTTGAGAGGTGTTGGGGTGAGGACCTAGGGTTGAAGAGCGGGGCAGGGGACAGGGCTGGGTGCTTTCTGGCTCCCTGCAGTTGGACCACCGGTGCTGAAAGGCTGCAGCTGGTCTGGTTTGACTGCACAGCAAAAAAAGTGGGCGAGGTAACACCCAGCAGTTCTGGAAAATTACAGCAGGGCTCACGTGGTGTTGTGTTTCTGGGATACCCTGTGGATTGCAGGGTATTCTGAGTAGTGGATTAAAAGTGAACAAAAAGTCTAAATGCAGAGAATGGGACTTGGTGCTGCTTATGTGTTCTAGGGTAAAGAAGGGCAGGCGGAGTTGCAGAAGATTTCTTCGAGGCTCTTTCAGGATGGAAAAAAAAAAAAAAAAAAACAAACCCAAACCTCTTCATTTCCTCAATATTTTAAGGACAAATTTGCCCCCAAGTATTTGCTCCATTTGTATGCAAATCAGTTGGAGCTGCTTTTCCTGCTTGGCTGAAGAAACAGAAGGGAGGTGCCCTGTGAAGATGTCAGAGGTGTTCAGGACTCCTAGAAAAGCTGAAGACATTACTGAAGTACCATGATGGAAAATAATATATTACTATGTGGTATAAAGAATATTAGAAACTTCAGGTTCCTGAAGCAATATGTCCTTTGTAATACTGAATGTTGAGTTGTGTCTTCTAGTCTGTATACCACAACAGATTTCTCTGTCGTGATTCCCACACTACTGTTACTGTGCCTTGCACCCATGAACCCAATAGTGTTGTTATGGCAGTTTGAAGAGTGGTCTAAATTGTAATCTTTAGAGTAACTTAAATGATTTTACTTTTATTAGCAGAACACAGGAGAAGCTGTTATTTTATGTCTGAAATATGTGACTCGAGCCTCTTTATGTTGGATAACAGTTTATAAAATAAAATACAGTTTTTCCATAGCACATATGAACAGAGCGAATGCAAATAACCATCAGATTTTTACTACAGGAAAAGTGTTTTATTTAGCAGATAATAGTGGGTGGAGTATGCAGGCTACAGCTGCTGAAGGATTATGAAAACATAACTTGTATGTGCAGTCAAGTGCCAGAAGTTGGAGGCAGTTTGTTTCATCACCATTTGATTCCTAATAATTTATACACCAAAACCATTTTAGACT